ACTTTTGCATTGAGAGCAGTAGCATATTTCTCGCATGTTCAATTGGTTTTCAAATCAACTTTCTTTCAGTAGCCAAAGGCACAATCCTAGTCATATTAGCAACCCATTCTAGTTGTTGCATCTTTAGTTCTCACCTCTCTCTAAATTGTGTGTGTGGTGCGCTTTTGACAACAGAGTTTTCATGCTAATTGTATTTTTGAACGAACAGCCTCGTGTAGTCTACTGCCTTGTGCTCATTGCTGTGCTAATAATGTGAAGAAATAATTATTTCATAATAATCATTTATCAACATTTTAAGTTAACATTCGGATCTGTTGCATCAGCCTTGTTGTTTTTTTATGTAGCCTAGGCCTACCGGTTGTATGAATTTGGGATCCTTCGTCCCACAACTGTCCCAGAGTCTGTTTGGAATAGGCTGTTTCTTTCTCGCACAGAATGATAAGCTGACCAATAGAATAGGTCAACTTTTCTGCTATGCGGGATATTAGATTGACAGTGATTTTGCTGTTAGTTTCTCGTCTTGTTGGCTGAGGAGAAGTAATGTGACAGTTATTCTAAGATCTTCAAAGTGCGCATCAGAATTCGGTAAGAAGGACGCACGCCGTTGCATCTTTGAGTTGCATGTTCTTTTAAGATGAATAACCATAATCTAAATGTGATTTCGGTGGGTGGACGCCCTAATATTCGTACATTTCTCATGTCTGTTAAATTAAAGTGCTGCCGGTCAAATGTCTTGCGCCACATTTTCCTAACGGAAACCTTGGTAGGCACCAGATGGGAAAACATTTTAGAGAAGTTTGACACGGAATAAATAAAATGAAATGTCCATATTGGACAAGTTAATGTGGTACCTCTTACGTGCCGACTGAACACGACCCTGGGTGCAGCCGCAGCGTAAGTCTTCTTTTCAGTCACAGATTCCTTTTTTGTGGTCAAGCTGTGCTTCTTGCTATATCATGTTGATGTGGTTCCTGAGATGCTAAACGTGACTATGACCTCTGTGTTTTAATTTCTGAATAATCCTGATGAAAGAAACAACTGCTGCCAGAGAGAAACTAAACTGAACAGAAAACCATGGAGCTTGTGCTGAAGAGGTAGTTGAACAGCGATAGTGAGTAGGAACGGGAAGAGAAAGAGAGGTGGATCTTACACCGTCTGGGCCACATTCAGTAGGCACCACATGGAAAACGTCTAACACAACAAAATTACTTAACACGACCCTGGCCTAGTTGGGGTTGGGAGCGCACTGCCTGAATGAAATAGGATTGGTGCTGGTTGTGTTAACCTCATTGTTTTATATGTTATTGTGCTATTCTTATCCTATGTTATGGCGCTGATGTAAATGTAATGGTGGTCATAGTGTTTTCTCTGTTTCAGCCAGAACGGATAAACCCCGACCTCAACCAGAAAGGCTACAGCGTCAAGTCAGACATCTGGAGTCTAGGAATCACGATGGTGAGTCACAGACATGATTGGGACCAAATCCTGGATTGAGATGACGTAAACTGTGCATTAACGTCAAGTACATCCATTCATCTCAAATCGGCATTCTACCAGAAACAACCACACCAATTCTATCAACAGCAGGGTCATGTTCATTAGGCACCACACAGAAGAAAATGGGACTGAAACGGGGAGGGGCTACCTGAATTGATGTTATTGTATTCTGTTGCAACATTAGTTTTACGGTGTACCCTAATGAATACAACCCTGGTCTGAGTGATGATTCTACTGTGTTGTCTCGTGATGATAAATACCAGGCTCCATAGTTGAAAGATGAGCTCCTGCCTGCTGCTCTCTGTGGGTTAACAAACCTCTGTGGGTCTGTCTGGTCTTCTCCCCCCTGCCCCAGATTGAGCTGGCCATTTTGAAGTTCCCCTACGACTCTTGGGGTACACCCTTCCAGCAACTGAAGCAGGTAGTGGATGAGCCCTCTCCACAGCTGCCCTCGGACCGCTTCTCCCCTGAGTTTGTGGACTTCAGCTCCCAATGGTGAGCCCATCTCTCTCTCTCCCTGTCTGCGTTCCAAATGGCACCCTCTTCCCTATTTAGTATGGATGGGCATGAGCACTCGAACAGACGTCAAAACGTGCTTTTTAACCAGAGATCCATTTTTCATTTTTTATATATACTGTAAAACTATTTGGTGGAATGGTTCCACACTGAAAATATACAAAAACATTAGTTTGAAAAAGACAATGAGATGTGTTTTCATCAGAATCATTAAGCCTAAACCCACTAAACCAAAGTGATGTCGTGGCTGTAATTCATCACCGTGCGCAGTGTTCAATGTGGAATTGTTAATCCGTTTAGAAAATTCAAAAGAACAGGCAGGGTAAACTAAATCGAAAGTCTGAAGGCCTATATCGAAAAGCCAGATTTTGGTTTGTAACCTTGAAGAAATTGTATTTCAACCAAACTAAGCCCCGTTTCAAATGATCACTCTTTGAGATTAACTGTTCCAGAGGCGCATCACTTCGCACTGGCAACATTTTTCATTTGGAAAAATATTCTGTTCTGTTTTATTGTGTTATATTATATCATGTTTTTTGCGGTAAAATAGGTGTCATGACTGATAAGTGCTCGGGAAATTAACAAAACAAGGCTATGCCATTGCAAAGCCATAGGCTTCTACAAGCAAGCGCCACTGCTGAGGTTACTACCTTTTTGAAGATTGTGTTCCACTATATAATATAACCAGTTGATATTGTTGTTTCAAGAAATTAATCTTAAATGGCAATTGTTTTTTTATTGACTGAAAAAAAAAAATATATATATATATATATATACCGTATTTTCCGCACTATAAGGCGCACCGGAGTATAAGCCGCAGCAGCTAAATTGAATGATATTGAATGATGTGTACATATATAAGCCGCACTGGACTATAAGCCGCAGGTGTTTTAATGTTTTGAATTACCATATGTAAGGGTTCGTGCACAGAGGGGATTGTCGGGAAAGAGACAAACTGTTTCGCTCTCGTAATGTCTGTCTGTATTGCTCTCGTTCTGTCTCTCGTTCTGTCTCTCGTACCACTCTCGGTTCCACTTTTACTTTTGCGCGCTACCTGTCTCACTCTTTTCCGGTCTCCAGCTTTTCCTGCTGGAGCCCGCCGCTTAAAGGTGGGGGGCGCGGACCGGTCATAGAGCCCATAGAGTTAAAGTTGGTGGACTGTAACCTGTAAAATCCATAGATTTAGGAGGTCTTCTAGTGGCCGTTAGCTGTAAAAATCCATAGATTAGCCGCACCGTTATATAAGCCGCAGGGTCGAAAATTTTGAAAAAAGGCGCGGCTTATAGTCCGAAAATTACGGTGTGTGTATATATATATATTTCACAGTGGGGAGAACAAGTATTTGATACACTGCCGATCTTGCAGGTTTTCCTACTTACAAAGCATGTAGAGGTCTGTAATTTTTATCATAGGTACACTTCAACTGTGAGAGACGGAAACTAAAACCAAAATCCAGAAAATCACATTGTATGATTTTTAAGTAATTAATTTGCATTTTATTGCATGACATAAGTATTTGATCACCTACCAACCAGTAAGAATTCCGGCTCTCACAGACCTGTTAGTTTTTCTTTAAGAAGCCCTCCTGTTCTCCACTCATTACCTGTATTAACTGCACCTGTTTGAACTCGTTACCTGTATAAAAGACACCTGTCCACACACTCAATCAAACAGACTCCAACCTCTCCACAATAGCCAAGACCAGAGAGCTGTGTAAGGACATCAGGGATAAAATTGTAGACCTGCACAAGGCTGGGATGGGCTACAGGACAATAGGCAAACAGCTTGGTGAGAAGGCAACAACTGTTGGCGCAATTATTAGAAAATGGAAGAAGTTCAAGATGACGGTCAATCACCCTCGGTCTGGGGCTCCATGTAAGATCTCACCTCGTGGGGCATCAATGATCATGAGGAAGGTGAGGGATCAGCCCAGAACTACACGGCAGGACCTGGTCAATGACCTGAAGAGAGCTGGGACCACAGTCTCAAAGAAAACCATTAGTAACACACTACGCCGTCATGGATTAAAATCCTGCAGCGCACGCAAGGTCCCCCTGCTCAAGCCAGCGCATGTCCAGGCCCATCTGAAGTTTGCCAATGACCATCTGGATGATCCAGAGGAGGAATGGGAGAAGGTCATGTGGTCTGATGAGACAAAAATATAGCTTTTTGGTCTAAACTCCACTCGTCGTGTTTGGAAGAAGAAGAAGGATGAGTACAACCCCAAGAACACCATCCCAACCGTGAAGCATGGAGGTTGAAACATCATTCTTTGGGGATGCTTTTCTGCAAAGGGGACAGGAGAAGGTCTGTATGGAGGAATGGGCCAAAATCCCTGCTGCAGTGTGTGCAAACCTGGTCAAGACCTACAGGAAACGTATGATCTCTGTAATTGCAAACAAAGGTTTCTGTACCAAATATTAAGTTCTGCTTTTCTGATGTATCAAATACTTATGTCATGCAATAAAATGCAAATGAATTACTTAAAAATCATACAATGTGATTTTCTGGAATCGGCAGTGTATCAAATACTTGTTCTCCCCACTGTATGTATGTATGTGTGTGTGTGTGTGTGTGTGTATATATATATATATATATATATATATATATATATATATATATCACACATACATACAGTTGATGTCGGAAGTTTACATATACCTTAGCCAAGTACATTTAGTACTCAGTTTTTCACAATTCCTGACATTTTATCCTAGTAAAAATGTCCTGTCTTAGGTCAGTTAGGATCACCACTTTATTTTAAGAATGTGAAATGTCAGAATAATAGGAGAGTGATTTATTTCAGCTTTTATTTCTTTCATCACATTCCCAGTGGGTCAGAAGTTTACATACACTCAATTAGTATTTGGTAGCATTGCCTTTAAATTGTTTTACTTGGGTCAAACGTTCCGGGTAGCCTTCCACAAGCTTCCCACAATAAGTTGGGTGAATTTTGGCCCATTCCTCCTGACAGAGCTGGTGTAACTGACTAAGGGTTGTAGGCCTCCTTGCTCGCACACGCTTTTTCAGTTCTGCCCACAAATGTTCTATAAGATTGAGGTCAAGGCTTTGTGATGGCCACTCTAATACCTTGACTTTGTTGTCCTTAAGCCATTTTGCCACAACTTTGGAAGTATGCTTGGGGTCTTGTCCATTTGGAAGACCCATTTGCGACCAAGCTTTAACTTCCTGACTGATGTCTTGAGATGTTGCTTCAATATATCCACATAATTTTCCTTCCTCATGATGCCATCTATTTTGTGAAGTGCACCAGTCCCTCCTGCAGCAAAGCACCCCCACATCATGATGCTGCCACCCCCGTGCTTCACGGTTGGGATGGTGTTCTTCGGCTTGCAAGAACCCCCTTTTTCCTCCAAACATAACAATGGTAATTTTGGCCAAACAGTTCTATTTGTGTTTCATCAGACCAGAGGACATTTCTCCAAAAAGTACGATCTTTGTCCTCATGTGCAGTTGCAAACCGTAGTCTGGCTTTTTTATGGCGGTTTTGGAGCAGTGGCTTCTTCCTTGCTGAGCGGCCTTTCAGGTTATGTCGATATAGGACTCGTTTTACTGTGGATATAGATACTTTTGTACCTGTTTCCTCCAGCATCTTCACAAGGTCCTTTGCTGTTGTTCTGGGATTGATTTGCACTTTTTGCACCAAAGTACGTTCATCTCTAGGAGACAGAACACGTCTCCTTCTTGAGCGGTATGACGGCTGCGTGGTCCCATGGTGTTTATACAACGTGGTAACTTCAGGCGTTTTGGGAAATTGCTTCCAAGGATGAACCAGACTTGTGGAGGTCTACATTTTTTTTTTTCTGAGATCTTGCCTGATTTCTTTTGATTTTCCAATGATGTCAAGCAAAGAGGCACTGAGTTTGAAGGTAGGCCTTGAAATACATCCACAGGTACACCTCCAATTGACTCAAATGATGTTGATTAGCCTATCAGAAGCTTCTAAAGCCATGACATAATTTTCTGGAATTTTCCAAGCTCTTTAAAGGCACACTCAACTTAGTGTATGTAAACTTCTGACCCACTGGAATTGTGATACAGTGAAATATAAGTGAAATAATCTGTCTGTAAACAATTGTTGGAAAAATTACTTGTCATGCACAAAGTAGATGTCCTAACCGACTTGCCAAAACTATAGTTTGTTAACAAGAAATTTGTGAAGTGGTTGAAAAACGAGTTTTAATGACTCCAACCTAAGTGTATATAAACTTTCGACTTCAACTGTATATATACACACACACGAGGCAATTTAGCAATTATGATTTATCTGTAATGGTTATGATAAATTAGCCATTGTTGTGCACTGTTGGCATATAGATATACGCACACATATTTTTTTCCAATGCGGGCCTTGCCCTTGTGTTCTAAAAGTAGATTTCTTTCCATTCTGAGTACGCTGAAAAAAATCATGTGAGTACTCGGAAAAGTGAATATGTTGAAATGACCATCCCTACTATATAGTGCACTACCTTTGACCAGGATCTATAGGAGAAGGGTTTAGGGCCCTGGTCAAAAGTAGTACACTATATAGGGTGTTATTTGGGATGCTGCCTGTCTGTGGCCTTACTGATGAGGCAGTGGAACCAAACACCACCATGTGGCACTGCCCTGCTGTCCTCTCCCTGTGGGTCCAGGCCTGGGCACTGCCCTGCTGTCCTCTCCCTGTGGGTCCAGGCCTGGGCACTGCCCTGCTGTCCTCTCCCTGTGGGTCCAGGCCTGGGCACTGCCCTGCTGTCCTCTCCCTGTGGGTCCAGGCCTGGGCACTGCCCTGCTGTCCTCTCCCTGTGGGTCCAGGCCTGGGCACTGCCCTGCTGTCCTCTCCCTGTTGGTCCAGGCCTGGGCACTGCCCTGCTGTCCTCTCCCTGTGGGTCCAGGCCTGGGCACTGCCCTGCTGTCCTCTCCCTGTGGGTCCAGGCCTGGGCACTGCCCTGCTGTCCTCTCCCTGTTGGTCCAGGCCTGGGCACTGCCCTGCTGTCCTCTCCCTGTGGGTCCAGGCCTGGGCACTGCCCTGCTGTCCTCTCCCTGTTGGTCCAGGCCTGGGTCCCCTACAGCCTGTGCATCTCTGACTGCTACAACATATGAATGTGGTTGGTGAGACTGATTGTGGGACTTCCTGGTTAAATAACTAAATAGAAACATTAAAGCCTTCTCCAGACGTCATCAGATCTGATTATCTGCCCAGTGTGAATGTGACCTGGAAAAATAGACGACCTGGAAATTAATCCACCTAAATCATGGGGGGCAACCCAGTTGTCCTGACAACCCAGTTGTCCTGACCTAGTTCCACCTTGGCCCACTCTATAAATGTCTTCCTGTTGCTTTCATGTACTCTTTTGTGGTACGTTTATCTGGTGTAAATGTGTTTTGGTGTACGTAGGGTTGCATAATTACAGCAACCTTCCCAGGTTGGAGGATTCTGGATTTCCTGCTTATTCCTTCCTGATTATGGGAATTTTAGTGAAGTTATCAGAATTTTGCAACCCTATGTGTACTAAATCATAGGTTGAACCAGAGGACAGGATCCTCAAAAATGTTTAGATGTGTTGGGGGCTCTTACTTAAGGTGTATTGTAAGAAGTGTCCAGTATTGAGGTCTGTTTCTCAGTTCTTTGTTTTGTTTTGTCTCTGCAGCTTAAGAAAGAAACCCAACGAGAGACCCGCCTACACAGAATTAATGGTTGGTTTTAGATCCTCATAAGCATTTGTTTCTATTCGTGACCAGTGAATATGTGTTGTTTTTCTCTCTTCATTCATGCCGTCTTTGTAAAGGCTCACTTCCTGTCTCCGTTTCCTCTTTGTCATGTGTCCACAAGAGGACAGGCTTTCCCAAGTGATTAGTCAAACCATAAAGATGATGTATTCTTGTATACACAACGCATGTTTAAATCCTGTGTGTAAATGTTTCTGTTGGACTACTCTTACTTTAGGAGTTGTTGACTCATGGTGTTTTCTCATCTATTTCTTTTTACAGCAACATCCCTTTTTCACCCTGCATGACTCCAAAGAAACGGACGTAGCCAGCTTTGTCAAGATCATCCTGGCAGACTGACACGCCCCTCCACCCACCAGGGTAGGAGGTAGGTGGGACTTCTCCACCCACCCACCAATCCCAGGCCTTTCAGAAAGCTCACTGGAAATGATCTGCCACACAACTCCCAACTTTCTGTCCACCTACCTACCCCACAACAGAGGGGTTTTCCCAAAGACTGACTACAGCTCACAGAGGCCATGTGGGAGAGCGCTAGTAATATGAACTCAAGATATTGATGTTGTCCACCCAAACTGGAGAGGGTCAACTTGCCCACGGATCCAACAACCCCTTCCCTCCCTCTACTCCTACAAACTGAACTGAATCAAACTCCTCACTGTACCAGTTTTCTGAATGGACAGTGTCAGCAGAAAGTAAATCTCTCGCTACACATACTGTATGTTCATCACTCTGAATTACACAAAGCGAAAAATCGTTCGATAAAATGTGTACGTCTCTGTATAATGAATTGAAAAAATATATTTTGCATTTATGCGTTTATTTCTCTCATACAGTTTGTAACTGTATATTTTCATCAAGTATGAATTAGCAAGGGAGTGTCTTTACTCTTTCTGAATCCTAGCATGAGGTGAAGAGGTGACCTGCATTTCTCGTCTCACCTTCTGGTGATTGGTCAGTGGCTGGACGGCAGCAGCTGTCTTCGGGCAGGGTTTGGGGAGGCTCTGGAGGGGTCAGACGAAGTAATTTTCTTCTTGGGGAAAGTTCAAAGGTGAAAGAAAGCGTGACAGGGGGCCCTGGACAAAGGGAATTGCTAGTCCTACCTAGGAGTATTTTGTGGCATGGGAATGCGAGGCATCCGATATCATCTGACCTCAAAGACATGCCCCTATATGCACACCACTCTGCCCCGCCCCTTCCTAAACTCTCTCACCCATCTGTACACACCGCTCTGCCCCGCCCCTTCCTAACCATCGCACCCTGCTCTGTCACCAAGAGTGTTGTGAAGAGTGTATTCTCATATAGTACATGGAGATGGAATTGGGGGAATGATTCTCTTAACTATCCAGACTATACTGCATCTATCTTCCAGTCCCTCTGAGCCATTTAACATATGTATTTTCATTATTCATTATTATTACCTTGGTTTCCTGGATGTGGTTGGGGGCTGCTGTTTGACACATTTAATTATTATTATTATTATTTTTTCATTATCCTGAGTGCAGGACAGGAGCATGTCAGTATCGTGTTTCGCCCCCGAAGCACTTATCTTAACAGAGGTCAACGAAGCCTCATGCCTTACACGTACAGTATATTAGGGAAAATAATTTATGTGTGTTGAAGATGTAAATAGTATTTTGGACAACTTTTTCTCTTTTAAATGTAACGTTGGCGATGTGGAGTGATGTGGCAGCAGAGTGGACGTGTACTCGTGCGCTATGCGGCTGATTGATGTGTACTCGTTAGTTTTAATGCAGTCGGTGTGTGAGAGAGAGGTAAACGCAGCCCGCTGACTCCTCCTGTACTCGTCGATGAGCTGCTGCAGCCACCTCAGGTTTCAATGCCCTGCTTTAAGTCAGCGGAGGCAGCCATGTTTGTTTCCCCACGATGTTGTACCTCTCTGAAGGCTGGGTAGTGTTCATTAGGCAGAAAACTGAATGAAATAAACAGTGAGGAACTACCTGGACTTGGTCCAAATAAGAAACGCTCATGTTCGGTTCCTCGTTGCAAAACGTTAAAAGCTTTCCGTTGCATGCCCCAATGAACATGACCCTTTATGGTGGAAGACTACTTCTGTGTGAGATCATGCTAGGCTGTGAATGCGTACTTGCCATTTAGGCTTGAATCCCAAATCGACCCCTAATCCCTAGGCAATCCTCTAGGTCTGAGACCGATTTGAACAGGTATGAGCACTATAACAAGGTGAAGCAATCGACATATTGGTTAAAAGTATCCACTCCATGCTTTATCTATAGGAGTGCCCTAGGGAGTAGGGAGGCTCTGGGTTGATCTGGAACTCAACCCTCCGGACTCTGCTATGCAGTGGCCCTTAAGTCTTTGATCAGGACTATGAGAATCCTGCCATGTGGCAACCAGTGGTAGTGGTGGCACTTGCCCTTAGTGTTTTTAGGGTGCGTCCAAAAGGATGCCCTATTTCATATCCCTTCTTTCTAGGTAATCGGGTGCCATTTCAGACGCTGCCTTGGTCTGTGATTGGTAAGCCTCTCCGGTCACCCCTCAGCCTCTCTGACGTACACTGTAGTGGGCTTTTTATCAAAGTCGGTGGACGAGGAGTATTTATGATATGTGAGTAAAGAAGGGAAAGCTAATAAAGAGCTGCTGTGATTTGACCTTTTTTCTCTTGTTGGCCATCTTAGAAGCGGGCCACTGTAATCCTCGGAATAGTTCCGTTCCACTTTTTAGTTCCGTAAGAGAACTAGAGCAGTGAACAACACATTAGAATGTAGGGTGTGGTGCCTTTTTTGGCCCATTCACAGTGTGTTTATGGCTATCGAACTTACGGTGTTAGTTCTTTATAGGTAACTTTGTAGTTTGCAAAGCTTAAGGATCTAGAAGTGTAGCGGGACTATTCCAAATAGTACAGAGGCCCCGCAGAAGACACTGATTCCTTATGTGTTGAGAAGAGTGAGTACAGGCTGATGAGTGTGGATGGAACTGTACAGGCTGATGACGGTGTGGATGGAACTGTACAGGCTGAGTGTGGATGGAACTGATGGTCTACCTCTCTCATTCACTCTACCCGCCACCACGTCATTGGGTGATTTCTGACAAACTTGAACTGTGGGAAGACGTAATAAAGGCTTTATTCTTAAATAAAATGTGTCCTTCTGAATTACTGTTATCACACAAACCTTCCCGAGTGTCCCGTTTTTATCAACTAAATCGCAACCATGATTGTTATTGTTGCTAGACCTTAGAATCATGATTCAATCAAATCTAAGTTTATTGGTGTTGTACACAGTAGCAGATGTTATAGCGGGTGCAGCCAAATGCTCCTAACAGTGCAGCAAAAAGATCAAACAAATAATAATCCGAAACAAGAAATCGCGAATGTCAGAACGAAACCAGTGAACAACCCAAATAACACTCAGTAATCCAAATTTCAATCTATGCGTCTGTACTAGTGTTGTCACGATACCAGAATTTTGACTTCGATACCAGGTATAGTGCACTCAATACCAAAACGATACCACAGCAAAAAAAGAGACCAGGGAGGACTAATTGGATGTTCTAAGTCCATAACAATGTTTAAACCACGTCAGGGGACCATTTCTTTAGGTCTGGGATTTTTTTTAAAATCTTTTACTGTAGTTTTCCCTTATTGCTAAGTGCATGTGCACTTGAATTAGTTTGGTTAGCAGTGGTTCTGTAGGGCACATGATTGAGTTTGCAAAACAAATGGCCACTGGATTGATGCAAAAAAATCATGATTCTGCCTACTTTGTAGTTAACTTTTAATTAGAAGGTTTTGGGGAAAGCCTTTCCATCTATCTGATGAAGGTTAGCCTATCATTAGCGTTGCTAATGGCTACACAAGGTGGTTAACATACACGCACCACACAGATGGGCATTCAGATAAAGATAAACTTGGGCAAATTAATTAAGTTTCTAATAAGTTCAACAGATTTAGTTGATTTCCAAACGTGAGACACCGAAAGTACAATTATAGTACCGGACTGTTCATTTTGTATTGAAAAATGACTGAACTATTTTGTATTTATTATGGATCCCCATTAGCTGCTGCCAAGGCAGCAAAATTAAGGCAGTTATACAATTTAAAAGACATTACAATACATTCACAACAGATTTCACAACATATTGTGTGCACTCAGGCCCCTACTCCACTACCACATACCTACAACACAAAATCTGTGTGTGTATAGTGCGTATATTATCGTGTCTGTTTATGCGTTGCTTCACAGTCCCGCAAGGTGTATTTTTATATTTTTTAAATCTAATTTTACTGCTTGCATGAGTTACTTGATGTGGAATATTGTTCCATGTAGTCATGGCTATATTTAAAATGTTTAGTCATTTAGCAGACGCTCTAATCCAGAGCGACGTACAGGAGCAATTAGGGTTAAGTGCCTTGCTCAAGGGCACATCAACAGATTTTTCACCTAGTCTGCTCAGGGATTAGAACCAGCGACCTTTCGGTTACTGGCACTACGCTCTTAACCACTCCGCCCCTATATTTAGTACTGTGTGCCTCCCGTAGTCTGTTCTGGACTTGGGGACTGTGAAGAGACCTCTGGTGGCATGTCTTGTGGGGTATGCATGGGTCCTCGGACACGGTGCGTCGCTGGGTCTATCCCCTCACCCCCAAGGCTAACTTCACAGACCAGCGGGGGCAGGGGTGTACCCACTCCCGCCATAACGTCTACCGGGGCGCAGGGGTCAGCCTGGGGCACGGCAGCCAGATGGAGGAGAACGTTCTGATTGGTTGAGACACCAGCATCGGGGCCAACTGTCATATATCGAACAGCGTCATTGGCAACAACTGCACCATAGGTATTATACTGTTACTGTTTCTACAGGGTCCGTACGGTCATGAAAATCCTGGAAAAGTCATGGAATTTTAAAATGGTGTTTTCCAGGCCTGGAAAAGTTTTGGAAAATGTTAGTCCAAAAAGTCATAAAAATGTATTTCACAATGTCTGTTAATGTTATTTATTTAGGCACGGTTTTTAAATATTTAATAAATAAAAATCAACATCAGCCAGGATTGGAATGGTGCATCAGCTGCATGGGCCGTTGCTCAAGGAGCGACAGACAGTAGGACATTGCAGCAGCAGGTAGGCCTAGCCTATAAAATATGGTGGAGAAGATTGATTAGGTAGCCAATTCAAAATATATATTGTACCCTCTAGTTAACTGTTGAGCTGTTATTAGCATGTATGAATGTTTTCGTCATGTCCCAAAAAACTTTCCGCCGACACTCGCAAATAAGGCCATACAAAGTTGATTAACTTTTTTAAACAATTGATATGATTCATTTCAACTATTATTTTTGACAAAACAAACAATTCACTTTGACATTG